GGCGATATCTTATGCGCCATTGTAAATATCGCCTCGCTGATTGGTTGCTCCACTGTTTGACGCTTGCTGAGTCCAGTCTGAACTAAGCATTAAGTACAGTCTTAAGAAGTTACGAACCAATCAGAGGATATTGGTGTCTTAAGGCATTACTTAGGGAGCATTCATATTGGTCGTATGTCCGGATCTACAATAGGTGTTTCAACCTTGTGCTTACAATTAGAGACTTTTGCATAACGCGGAATTAACAATAGAACAGTAAGCTTTAAGCCGCAAGAACTTAAGAGTTCCTTAAAAATTAAAAAATATTTTTGGAATATAAAAATTGTAAGCATTTTAGAAATATTAAAAATATATATAACATTTTATTATAAAATATTTTTAAAGAGGGAGATTCCAAGGAGAAGGGGGAAAGGGCATGGTCCCCGTAAATCCGCCAGTAAAGAGATAAAATTTCGTTGTCCTCTCATTAGTCAAATTTCAATCTTCAATGCGTAGTCTAATTCTGGCCTTGCTAGGATGATCAGATCTCTAGATAAATTATTAGGACATTTCTGATTGAAAAGTAGAACAAAAAAGAGAACATTTTAGGTTAAATTATAGTGTAGAAAATAAATTATATATTTTAACTCAATACAAGTAAAAGAAAAAAAAAGTATATTTATAAAAATCCTGAGAACATGAAAATATGTATTTAGTATTAGCAAAAAAATATTAATATAATAAAATAATACCTAATAATTTTTTAATTTTATTACAGATATACAATAATCATTACTATGTATTTTATTTGCAGTGGACTTAATAATTTCCAGTTCCCTCGTTCTCTCTCTCTCTCTTTCTCTCTCAAAATGAATATCTCAAACACGCTAAAAACTCGGTTGGATGTCCCCGGATGTTTTTAGAAAAAAAGGAATACACGTCCGGAAAAAATTGAACGTTTGGTCACCCTATTCATGTGTGACAGTATCACAGTAACTTAATAACGTCCGATTTAATAACTCATCCCTTCGCTCGCTCCTAAGTCCTAAAAGTATAAAAAAGAGTACACATTGAAAACTCGCCTGGACGCCCAAAAAAAAGAGTACATGTTTGGGGAAAAGAACGATAACCTTAGGTTTTACGGACATGGTTATTTTCTCATTTTAATTGTAAAAATCTATATTCTTCCCTAATATATGCATTTTTTTATATTCTCAATTTATTTAAACAAAACAATAATTTTTTATTACATAAGCGTTCTTCTTCCTACAAAGGATGTGCTATAGCGCGCTACGTTTCTTTAATGGTAGTGTCTCTTTCATAATAATATAAAAAAAATATTTTTATATAATGTACTAAACTTGAAAAATATACTTGACGGGAGAAACTACCTCGTCTCCAAATTAAGAGTTATGGGACACCTTGCATACAATACTAATATGTAACATAAAAGTGTGCAATTTTATGTATGTAGGTACATACGTACTATAATTTCTAACTTGAAATAAATAGTGTCATTTTTACGATTTCAATTTTTATAAAAAAATCTTTATAATGAGAAATATAAATCCTGTATTTCTGATTGTAAATTTATAGAGTTTTTATCATCAGCATCGAAAAGAGGACACTTGATTTCGTAATTTTAGATAAATAATTTTTTTATCAATATTATTTTGTTTTCACGTAAATGCCGAGTATTCTTGTTCCATCTCGCTAAGCATGTTGTAAAGTCGTTTCTGTAAGTTGTCTGGCGCTGCCGCACGTGGTAAATGCGTCGTGCCGCCGTCTGGATTAGCGCATTGTCTCAATAACACTGCCAATGTGCTAGTAGTATGCTCCGACATGAGCAATCCAGGAATAATTATCGTCCCTGAGAGCGTCCAACCGAGAAAAATCTTCTCACAAATAATCTATAATCGTACATAACTCTTGCAACAAAAATTTATAATAAAATTGAAATAAAATATTAAAATTAGTAATAACAACTGAAATTTTATCCATTGTTTAGAGAGTTTCTATTAAATAATTCTATTTATATGTAACAAGGAGTAATACGCAATAAAAGTAACAATGGTAATGTATTATTTTATCGAAAATACCGTCAAAATATTTGAAATAATACTTTTATACGTGTATGAAAAATATACTAATTAAAAATATACTAGTTAAATACATATAATATCAAATATAACAAAAAAAAAACTTAATAGTACTAATTTTACCTGTAAATTATTATTAAGAACCGGAGATTCGCAGCGTTTCTCCTTCGAGCAGGTAGACCGGCAATCGAAATAATCACAGTCCTCATGCTTTTCGCAGCTCTTACCGTCACTGATAATACGATCGATAATGGTTTTAGGGAAGACTGCGTCCAGATCTAAGAATTTCAGTTTTTGCCCGCCCAGGGGTAAACCGAAATGATTAATTTTCACATCACAGAGATAAAGTGGCTCGGGAAAATTCGTCTCCAACTCTTCGAGTAGATTAAGGATCATCACAGCGAGTTTTAACCTTTTGGCCCACTCTGGTTTCGAATCGGACAACGCTAACACCGTCGTGGGTGTTTCGATCGGTCGGACGTACTCGACCGCGTAGAATGTGCCGCACGTGCCGATCGGCTGCGGAAACACATCCCTATCTTCGTACAAAATCGCCATTAAATATTCATTCTCTTGCAGCAACGGCCAAAGGTTCTCCATCTCCAGCCGACGTCTCGTGGCATCGGTCTCGACTCGATGGGTGCGCAACCGGGCGAGTCTTTCTAGCTGATGTCGTGTAAGAGTCACGTTGAGTTTATTGATAGTTAAATCTTTGATCATGATGATAAAATCCTCCTCAGATGGGAAGTGTTGCAATCCGGTCGCATCCATCCAATAGAGCGACTCGAATTGCTCCGAAGGGATTTTAGTCCTATACGCAAATTAAGATAAGATTAATTCATATATATGAGAGAGGATTAACATTTTCTAATATTTAAAAAATATGAAAGTAACAAAAAAAAAATTAGAAAAGCTGAGAAAAGCGTGTAACTCTTCGGTTCTCTCGCATAGTGTGAAAAAAGAACAAAGGAATACCTCGAAGCCTTGAATACAAGTCGTGTCGCTTCCCAATGCGCGGAGAAAACAGCCTCTTTGCCCGCATGGAGCGTCTCACATGCTAGCGAATTTATCCCTTTTTCTCTGCACAGTGGTTCGCAGAGAATTCCCATCGCTGTACCGTCTCGGTGCTGGCTGCACTAAAATGGAAATTATATGATCGAGTACTACGCGAATAAGCGGAAAATTTTCAATTTCGGAATCGAAAAAGAAGAAAAATAGAAAATGTACGCAAATTACGTGAATTAAGTAATGATAATTATTGATAAATAATTATTTACAAATAATCATTTTTCTAAAACTAGAACGTTATAACCATGATTCGTTGCAATTCTTTTGATATTTATTATATTAATGTTTATTAAAAATTTTATTTGAAATTAAATTAAACTTTTTGGAAAAAGTGCAAAAGGGAGGGAGATTCTGAACCAGAAAAGGTATAACTATTAAAGTCAAGTTGATAATTATATTAATTAGTAAAAATTATTTTAATTACTCTGTTTCTAACAAAATAAACCTACCTTTCTATGACTCGCCGAATTTAATGGAACTTAAGGTATATTTGTAGAGCAGATGAAAATAATAGACACATATTTTTTTCATCAACAATGGTGCAGGTTTAAGAGTGCAAACTATGATAAGCACGAGTAGATATTTAATTTCTTGCATTTTAGCTCATTCTATTACAGCTAATTCTGAATTTTAAAGATGTGCGCTTTTTCATTTTTGTACATCAAAAGTAAAATTAATAGGTGAATATTCTTTTTGATCTACATGATAATTAAAGAGATTAACAATAATCATATATGTTTTTATAAATTATTAACGTCTTTTTTAACTTTAATGTTCAAGTTGCTATTTTATTTACGGTTTTCCAATTATAAAAAAAAATATTTTAGTCACCGATATGGAGCTTGTTAATGATTAATTAAACATATATTTTACGTATAATTATTATTATAAAGAGTAAAGATTTTAGTTTTTCTAATTTTGTTAATTAAAGCATTTGAAAAGAGAGAGTATCACAAATTACTATACATAAGAAGAAAATAATAAAATTTTAATTAATCTATAACACATAATCCTTTCATGTCTTTAATAATATATAACCTCTCATTAAATGATGATATCTTCATGGCTCAACTTATCCTTCGAGAATGCTCAACATGCCTCATGTGGGGCACATCGATCCACTTTGTAGCCTTGCAATTAACATAATTTTTTCTTATTTACGAGATATATTAAGGATTTATAATTACTTAATTACTGAGCTAGACGAACATGCAACGTTTTAAAGCATTTACTATTAATCTATCGTATTTGTGTCTGCAGATTTATAATAACTTAAAGAAGAATTAAGTGTCACAACTAGCCCCGCTCTATCCTAGCTGTAACAGAGTGAGCTAAAATGCAAGAAATTAAGTACTCGTGATTATCATTAAATTCGGCGAGTCAAAAGGTAGGTTTACTTGTAAGTAATTTTATCTGCGAATGAATAAAGGATTTTGCGCTATTTCATTTCGAATAAATATTAGTTTAATAACAAAGCTGAACGAACGTTTCAGTGGACAGTTTCTTTCTGTAACGCACTGTCCGAGTCACGAGAATCGAGAGCAATGAAAGAGCATAGCTCTGTTGCGCGCGTGGGCAACACCCATATTCGTGTAAACCACATGTGTGCATGTTGTACAATGTCGTTATGTTGCACGAGCTCGTTCGTGTGATATTTTTAGTCGGCCGAATCAGCTACGATGAGGGAACGGTCTCGGGAGAGGACGACGCGACTTCGTGGCTCTCGTACAGGCATGTCATATGTGCCTGCACTACACATTCTGCGCATCCGAGGTGGTACTTATCGAAAACGCTCTCAAGACGGAGAATTGCCTTATCTCTTTTATTAGGTATTGTACACTATTACGTTTTACCAGAAAACGAATGTTTCAAGAGTATACTACATATATATATATATAAAATAACACCCTTTTAAAAAATGCAAAAAATATACAACAGATAAGTGATTTATTTGAAGTAATAGTAAGTCAAGCCAACATGCTTACATCACTGTTAAAATGGAGTAATTATATCTACCTCTTTGTTCTTTCCAATAAAAGTAACTTTCACCATATGATGAAGAGATATTTTTAATTATTAAATTAAAATTATGTACGTTGCGATCCATCTCTATTAGTTTAATTTTAATTTAGAATGTCCATTTATATGAAAATATACGTATGTGATTTTTTTATCTATATTCATTATACGTCGATTAGGTAATGAATATACTATTTATTCTTTAAACATCCTTTTGTTTAACGTCCAGTAGGTAAAATAAAAATCTGCACATTTCTCTTTCTCTCTATCATTTATTTCACAAGTGCAATCAAAATATGTTTGAAAAAACTATAAAAATTTTTAGAATGATTTGATAACATTTGAATCTTTTTAAAAAATTTTTAATTGAATGAGTGTATATACATCAGTAAAGTTTATGAAAAAAATGTTAGATGTTATATGTTATCGCTCTTGTCTCACGACATTCTTGCGTGTGTCGGTCGAGTATTACATAAGCGATTTTCCTCTTAATTGTATGCTGCGACTGTACTGTTAGAATGTAATAACCAGTAACATATAGGATTTAAATCATATAAGACTTCATCATCTTTAAGCCTGATTAAGGCTACGTTCGGGCAACTTCAACGCCATCGTGTCATTTTATCTTGAGATGTAAATCAGGATTAAAATGACATAATAGCCAAAATTTCAACCTGTAGTTTAAAATCTTTCTATAATTATGCTTACTAAAGGATATTCCTGAGACATTACGAATTATAAAGAAATCTAGAGTTGCAATAATTTTAATAAATAAAATCTTGACGCGAAAACTTTTGATATATTTTGTAAAAAAAAATTATTTAATATTGTAGCAAAAATTTATAAGTCAATGTAATAATTTTATCTTTTTCTATAAATCAATAAACTTTAATCTACGTGATCTACGTAACTTTTTAAAATCATTAATAATTGCAGTAAATGTATATCCTATCGATTCGATAAAAAAGAAAATCAAAATCACAGTTGAATTATAATTTTAATAATTTTATCTTGTAGTTGACATTATTCGATGTAATATGGAATTTAAAGAACCTTATTAAGCATTTCGAAACATTTTAGGAATTTCTTATTCAAGTATAGATCAATCTTTTGATAAAATTAGGAATATTTTATGGAGATTGATGTCTGAAGTACTATTTGGGTTACTAGGATGCAGCCTTGCCAGATTATCACCGCAATTTGAATTTACAAGTAAATTCTCGTCAAAATAAATTCCTAAATGCTTATCAATAAATTATTCAGTCAAAACGATATATGAAAGTCGATCGTAAGTAGATTTTTTCCGGATAAGTTATCTCTCTCAGCCAATTTTCTGGAAAGCTGAACTTTCCAGTTTCGGGCCAAGAGTACACTTGACTTTCTCTTCCGTAATGATAAGTTTATCAGTGAATCATGTAAAGTTTACAATTTTAATCATAGGAGTCCACACTTTATCAATGACCTCTGCGAGCGCAAATTATGTTTTAATTGATCTTTGTACTGAACTTGTACTTTTGTTTGCCGGCCGGGCCGTGTCCGGATTGTTACGCTTTTCATTCGCAAAACGAAGTACTGTAGAGAAAATCCGATAGAGCGAATGTACGTACATACACGCTCGTTTGAAATAATCGTAAGCGAGTAAGACGTAGAAATAAGCTGCGGAGATGATCGGGGTGATCGGCATGCTTGCTCCGTTCCGGAGGCTGCGGCAGAGTACGCGTGCGTTCGCTTTCATCCCCGTTCATCCCCTTTCGTGAAATCCGGCGCGGCGGGCGCAGGATTCACTCGCACCACCGACTCGACTCGACTCTCGCACACCTTCACTATCTCGATCTCGACGTATTCGCCCGATTCACCCCCCATGCCAACTTCATTACTTAATCCTCGCGCGATCGGTATCGAAGATGCGATATTGCGCACGGTGTTCCGATCGGAGTAACTGCACCCAGTGAAACTCACCACAGTAGACACGTGACGCCAGGCCTCGAGATTTGTGCACATTATACCCCAATGTAGAAGCAGGTAGACGACGAGGAACAGGCTGGACATCAGGAGGACCGTCACGAATTTGTAGTGGTACATGAAACCGGGCAGCCGACGGATGTTCATGTTCGCGCTGCCGATCGTCAGGTTCCTGACGGTGATCAAGGTAAGTGAACTTGTGCTTTTATTTTCTTTATTTTTCCTTTATTTTCTTATTTTCTTATTTTTTCCCCTCTTCTTTTTCAATCTCATCGACTACGACCCGGCTTCGCGGTCGTGATCCTCTCATCGTCTTTCGTGACGACACCGTGCTTCGCGACAACATTCCGTTTCGTCGTATCCGCTGGTATCCGCTGGTGGCCTAGTCGCCGCTGCCGTTGCCAGCCGTTGCCGCTACGACCCTCGGGTCGCGTCGATGACGAACGTTTGCGGCAATGCGGCATAATCCGCAGCACAGTATGAGAACGAGGAAGGCGAGCGTCGCGACGCTGCGCCTCTCGTGGCGAATCTTGCGATTCTATCAGGAACGTACGCTGATCGGCGATCACCCCGCCAGAGAGATATTCGCCAAATTTTTCATTTCGCGATACACACGTCTAGCATCATGTTCTTCGCACAGCTTGTTAAAGTACGTTATTAGGTACTTGTTCGAGATGCTCCGTGTTTCGACGTTCCATCTCTTCCATATAATCCGTATATTCCGTAGAACAGCTTAAATCGCCCTGAGCGATACTCAACGATAGGTGTTCTACATAATTTATCACTGGATTGCATTAAAAACTTTATTTCCTGTTACTCGTATACATATATCGCTAAATTTCAAATATATATTTTATATGCTTCATTTTAAGTACTGCATTAGTTGAACTAGTTCATATGTTTATAATCTTATTATTGAACTAGTTCTACTATTCAGCTACAAAGAACAGATTTACAACGACTGATTTTGTTTGTCATTATCATTGATTACACGTTGATTTTGTACGTCTAGATTCGCACAAATTGATTTTAAATGCTTAATTGACGTATACTTAGGAATGCATTTGTTCCATATACATATCTTTTTTTCCAAGTTCTGTGCATGTATAATCTAGTGTATACTCTACATCGCATAAATACTGTAATATACGCGATAATTTTAATTAAGAAACAATTCTGCGGAAATTATTAATTCAAACAATTTTAAGAATCCGAACTAAATATAAGTTTAACCTAGCTTATAATACTCTCATATACACTCACAGAGAGAGAGAGAGAGAGAGAGAGAGAGAGAGAGAGAGAGAGAGAGAGAGAGAGACTATTGAGAGAGATACCGTAAGATTCATGATCTTATTTAAAAAAATAAATTTCTGCTAAGAAATTATTTATGTTTTACTACATTCTACTTAAATGTAAGGCATTAATTTCCATACTTTACAAAGCATGGTGAAAGATTAATATATAACATATTAAACAATGCTGCATATATTATGGCATCATCCTTTTACACTTTCCAATAACTTCTCTCTTTCTTTTTTAGCATTTTGATTAACGTAATGGATGTACGAAATTTCAAAAGAATTATGATTTTGATTTCTTCTTGAATGAGATAGTGTTCTGAAAAATTATAATCTCTGCTTACTTCATTCTCTAATTACGGTAAGAAGACGTGATCAATTGAGAAGAGCGGCCTCTCTCTTTCTCTCTCTCCTTCCCATCTTTGTCTTTCAGCAATGCATTTTATCTTCTCGCGTATTTTAACGATTATAAAATGAAGACGTCGTTTTCATCGGCGCGTTGCGTCGTGTCATGTCCGAGCGGTTTCTGAATCGCGCGCGCTACCAATATGTGAACAAGCAAGAAGGAGAGAGAGAGAAACAGAGACGCACCTGCGTGCTGCGACGCGCAGCTGCGACCTTCGACGCCCTTGTACCGCCGGCAGTCGTTCCGGCGCGAGAGAATATCGTCGTCATTTTTACACGAGACGTCGCACGTCCACGTGAAGGTCCACTGTCGAGCTCCGTTGTCGACGTCGCCGTCGCCGTCGCTGTCACTGTCGTTCGTCCGATGCGGATCTCCCTCTAAAAATCCGGTTCTTTGCAAAGTTCAGAACCGGAAGCGCGAAAGTGTTTCGCCGAGCGGACGTGCGAACGCGAGTGCATTTCACTTCGTGCAGCTTCAGTCTTAAAAATAAAAAAAGGATCATCTTCCAGAGAATTGGTGAGTTCAGCGCGCGTATGATTGCATTTAAAAAAAGAGTAGCATTTAAGCACTATTTTTAGAAAAAAGAATGGCATTTAAACATATGAGAAAAATGTGAAAATGTGAAAATGTTATAGAAGATGTCATATGATACTTCATATTTTGATGCAATTCGAGTTGAAGATTTTACTATAACATTCCTAGTAAACGTATTTAATTTTGATTGATTTATTTAATAAACATTGATTCAAATTGTAAAAAAAGTTTTTGTTTTAGAATTAAAAAAATTTTTTGGTAAATTAAATTTTCGATAAATTAGATTTTTAAAAAATTTTCCAAATTTTAATTAAATTTTCTTAGAGATTTTTAAATTTTGTTAAAATAATTCTGTGATAACTTTAGTTAAAAAGGTTAAATAAATAAAATCGTCGATACTTTCCTCGTCTCTCTTTTTATTTACAATCATTAACCCCTTGGTCGGGGGTGAATGTAATGTACAAGATTTGTGTAGATCGACATAACGATATGATTAGCTTTGTGCGTGCGTGTGTAGAGTTTGCTTCTTGCGTTTACATTGACGATTCGCTTGATTATATCGTCTTTATTCATCTGACGCAGTCGCGTTGCGATGCCAATGCTCCGATTTTGACATTGATATATGTAACGTGGGATGACAATGACAAAAAAAGATATTTAAAAGATTTAAATCGCTTTTATATGTCGGGGTAAATATAAAATAGGCCTTTTAAAGAAAAACAAAATGTACGAAAATTAATTTAATTTTTTCACAGAAAGAATTAAAAATTGGATTTTCTTTCTGTGAATTCGTAAATGATTATTGTACAACATTAATAAAGATTGAAAAAAATTGCATCAGGCTAAAAGGGAGAAGCGTGAGTATTTTTAAAAATTAAAAATAAACGAGGCCCGCACAGAAAGTTCACCGATTAGACAAGTTATCGTAAACTGGCGGCCTGACAAACTGTTTACCAATACGAATCTCATTCTCAGTAAGATGAGTTTCTTCTCTCTTTCCTCCTCCTCCTCTCTCTCTCTCTCTCTCTCATTTTTTTTTCGCAGCGCGAAAAAATATTTGACAGTGCTACCATGAAATCTATGTACATACATCTTATAGAAGATTGCAATTGCTTTCACATCAGTTTCTACCATCGGACGAAAATAAACGCGTTACTGCTTTACGGGCAAGTTGAAGCGATTTGATGATCCATCTCGCGCAAACGGAAATATTAGCTCGTGCAGAGTCCATTTGTAATGAAATTGTAAATCGGTTTGTTCAAATGTCATAAAAAATTTATTCTGCAATATAAACTTTGATTTCGTGATGTGAACAACTTGAATTGAAGACTCTTAAATGAAAAGATTTAGATTTCTTTATAATATAAAAATATTTAAATGTAACTAATTGGACTGATAAAATGTGTTATCCTTTTGGATGGATGCAATCTAACGGTTAAGATTGTCACAAGAATGTTTCTCCGTCCAATCTCGACAAGCAAAAAAAGAACAAGTTTAGTCTTTGATCTCCAAGTCATTGAAGTAGGTTCGCCTTTGACCTTTTATATCTTCCTCTTCTTTGTCCCCTTTTTCTTCTTTTTTACTTGCATGTGTTGTTCACGTTTCATGTTGTGTTACTCATCTTTTTTAGCTGCTCGAATAGGCGCGAATCGTGACCGTGATCGAACATTACAATCCGCCGATCGCGCGCAGACGCTCGCCAGACTGTGAATCCCGATGAGATCTCCCAGTCGATAAAGGTCATAGTATGCCATTTCCATTATATTGGCCGTGATCTTGAATGGAAGACTGAAGGATAAATATTATCTTTTTTATTTTCCAAGGTTTATTGTTAAAGTTAATGAAATTCCTCGCATGTGCAAATTTGAATAAATTGTCTGGATTTCTTTCTATTTTAAAATTTAATACAATATGTTAAATGTTAGTTTTGTTCAGTTTTATTGTATTCTAGCAGAAACGTTGTGCAATGAGAATAAGCAAAGGGGAAGAGAGAGATTGTAAAATGCGAATCTTACTGTATTCTTGGATTAGGCGACTCTCTAAAATAATTAGTGAAGGTCACCTTTGATACCCCTATTAATCTGAACCCCCACCATCGTAAATCATGTTGGGCACTGTTGGGACATAGTAAAAAATTTACCTTCGATCCAGTGTACAGGATGGATTTTTCTTAAATGTGTCGCGCCTGCGTCGTCGGTCTTACCTCATTAGTGGCATAGGAGCCACTTTTCTCTCGTCACAATACTGAAAAAGATCATCGTTCAAAGGGTCGTTCCTCATTCCGTAAATCCACTCGTTGCCAGCGTTTTACAAAGTTTCGCCAAGATTTTTTGATTTTTCATTCTATTAAAAAAAAACGACAGTATATGTTAAAATAAGAAAATATTATTTTATAAAGTTATTTTAATTTGAATTTATCGTTTTAAAAAATTATTATTTCTGTATATTATATTTAAAATTAGAATCAAATATCTTCTAATTTTCATTACTTATTGTCATTCAAAGTTTTTTCAAATTGTACTATCAGTATTATTTTTTGATAATAGCAGTTGATTGTTCTGAAACACATCTTGTATATATGCAGAATTTTTTTTATAAGAAGTCAAATACTTTTACGTAAGCCAAATATTTCTCTATATACCTAACGTCTTCCTATAACGTCAAATTATTAGCACTTGTGTTAAACGAGATAAATCATTTGATAAATTTTAAATTGCATCGTATGTAGATAAATGTTGATATAAAAATTGCACGCTTTCCGTCGTTCTTCATTAGAATAAAGAACACACAATCCTCTCTTTTTTTATATTACTATATCTAAATACTTTTGCTTAATATGATTAATCTGAGCCGTTCAGAATTGTTGTCCGGATGCACCCAGATCTTGTTTTATCCTTGTGTTCATAAATGTTAAACAAGGATAAAAGAACATCTGGATGCACCCAGCCCTGTAGAGGACCGGAGACCCCTTTAGAGATTCGACAGTGGTGCCATCTTTTTTGCCACTCAACCCCATGACATTGATAAAAAAGTTTTAGCCCTTAAAATAAAAAAGTCGATCGAAAACATGCCGGTCCTCAGAAGGTTAAGAAGGATGAGTTATTTAAGGAGAAATTTAATTGTATCATAAAAACGTTTCTCACTACCTCATGTCAATTTTATAAATCGCTGGGAGCTTCACCGTCGCGTCGTGAAGAAAACAGAACAAACTATAACCGATGTGTTGTACCGATTGCGTCGATCGTGCGTGACGATACACGGTAGGTCGGTGCGTTCTTGCAGACGGTGAACTGCGGCGAACGTCCGACAGAACCGGGCAGGGAGTGGTTACACAGTCACTAAGAAAAAAAAAAGCAAAACGAGACGAGTAGAGGAGAGAGAGAGAGAAGGGACGAAGGTGGAGGGTCGATTCTGTCTCGCGGTGCATCGTCGAGTGCAATGGCCAATCGGCCGACCGTATTTTCATCCTTCCGGCGCGACGCGGCGCGGCGGTAATACCGTCGTTTGCTTCTTATTAACACTGTCTCGAATCTACGATTATATCATTACGTAGCACTTGACATATGTCGGATTAGAGAGAGGATAAGAGAAATGGAAAGGAGAGGTTCGCGCATAAATATATTGTATTTCATTGTCAAGTGAAAATTCGTATCTGCATATTGTAAAAAAGATGCTCATGCTCGATGAAGAACTTGAAAAATGTCCGCGAATGCTGGTCCAAAGGGCGCGTTTTCTTCATAGAAATATAAATAAAAAAATAAATTTTTCTTATATTTATTTTCATTAACTGATGCTCATTGAATATATATATATATACAGGGTGTTTGGCGACTACCGCATTTTTTGTCATACGTGGGTAGAACAGCCTATA